CGGTCTCTGGTGAAGGACAGAGGACCAGTCTAACACGGTCTCTGGTGAAGGACAGAGGACCAGTCTAACACGGTCTCTGGTGTAGGACAGAGGACCAGTCTAACAAGGTCTCTGGTGAAGGACAGAGGACCGGTCTTACATGGTCTCTGGTGAAGGACAGAGGACCAGTCTAACATGGTCTCTGGTGTAGGACAGAGGACCAATCTAACACAGTCCCTGGTGAAGGACAGAGGACCAGTCTAACGCGGTCTCTGGTGAATGACAGAGGACCAGTCTAACATGGTCTCTGGTGAAGGATAGAGGACTAGTCTAGTTTAGGGATTATTTAATAATGACCAATTCAAAGTGCGTTGAAATGAGGACAACCTCCGTCTGAATGAAGGCACTCATCACATACAGTGGGATAGTCAGCCACTGATCGTACAAGTTCTCCTACTTAGAATAATGAAAGAGGTCTGTAATTTCCATCACAGGAACACTTCAGCTATGAGAGACAAAATGAAAAAAACATATTCCAGGAAATTATCTTTTTGAAAATTATGCTGGAAAATAAGCATTTGGTCACCCACAAAACGGCAAGATTTCTGGCTCTCACAGACCTTCTTCTTTTATAAGCTCTTCTGTCCTCCACTCCTTTGGTGTATTAATGGCACCTGTTTGAACCCGTTATCTGTGGAAAAGACACCTGTCCACAGTCACGCTCCAAACTCAACCATGGCCAAGACCAAAGAGCAGTCGAACAACTACAGGAAGGACATTATAGACCTGCACCAGGCTGGGAGGAGTGAATCTACAATAGGTGAGGAGCTTGGTGTGAAAAAACTCAACTGCTGGAGCAACTGTAAGAAAATGGGCAACATACAAGGTCACTGATAATCTCCCTGGATCTGGGGCTCCACGCACGATCTCATCCTGTGGTGTCCAAATGATCATGAGAACGATGAGCAAAAATGAGTGACCTGATGAATGACCTGCAGAGAGCTGGGAACAAAGGGTTTGAAGATGAGATGTGGCTGAATCTTCCAGCATGACAATGATCCCAAACACATCGCCCGGGAAACGAAGGAGAGGGTCCGTAAAAAGCATTTTGAGGTCCTGGAGTGGCCTAGCCAGTCTCCAGACCTCAATCCCATAGAATATCTGTGGAGGGAGTTGAAAGCCCATGTTGCCCAGCAACAGCCCAGAAACATTACTGCCCTTAGAGGTGATCTGCATGAAGGAATGGGCCAAAATACCAGGTACAGTGTGTCTGGTGAAGACTTCCAGTGACCTCTATCACTGCCAACAATGGTTAGGTTACAACAATAGCTTTAGTTATTGACCAAATACTTATTTTACACCATAATTTACAAATAAATCTATCTGATTTCCTAGATTTTTCTTTCCACATCGTCTCTGATAGCTGATGTGTACCTATGATGGAAATTACGGACCTCTCTGATTAAGTAGGAGAGGTTGTAGAGTCAGTGGCTGACTGAATACCTTTTGGCCCGCTGTTCATCAGAGCAGCTGGGCTTCCACTTTTTCTTCTTAAATGACTAAACTCTGGATCTGGGCTGAAAAAGTGCTGGAATGTCAGTGTAGCTCTCTGATGACCATTGACCTCAGTGTTAAACATTAACTGATCATCTAACAGCTCAGAGATTAACCAACATGTACAGAATCAACAACAGTGAGATATTTGGCATCAGTTTGTCAGTATGCTCCATCTTTGATTGGACCGTGTGGGATGATGGGTGGCCAACCAGAGCCAGAACCAGGCTGTGGACCTCAAAGGTCCCTCAGAGATCGGACGGCCTTGGCCAGGTTGTTGTAGAACTCGGCCATGCTGGAAGGGAAGAAGGAGTCGACCACAGAGCGAGGAAGGAGGCCGCCCAGGTCTGTCTGGAAAAAAGTCATCACCTGAGTTCTGCCTGGATCCCTGGAAACCAGTTTGACACAGAAGCAGTGAGAAAAGGACTAGGAAGAGCTGCTCTGCCTGCTGTTGGTGACCTCACCCTGAGACGGGGATGCAGATGCAGCCACAGGCGTGGTTGGCCCCTCTGACGTAGCCAGGCTGGGGGGGACAGCTGGGATGAGTCACGTTGGTCGCTGGAAAATTATAGAACAGAGGGCATTAGAGCACAGCCTAAACCCCTGTGGTCAATGACGTCATCACTCCCTGTGTTCAATGACGTCATCACCCCACCCCTGGTCGATGAAGTCATCACCCCCGTGGTTAATGACATCATTACCCCCATCCATGTTCAATGATTTGATCACCCCCATATGATAATTGACATCATCACCCCTCCCGTGGTCGATGACATCATCACCCCTGTCCGTGTTCAGTGGCATCATCACCCCCTGTGGTCAATGACATCATCACTCTCTGTGCTCAATGACGTCATCACCCCCTATGGTTAATGACATCATCACCGCCTGTGGTCAATGAAATCCTCACCGCCGTCTGTGTTAAGTGGCATTATCACCACCCATGGTCAATGACATCATTGTTCCTCTGTGGTCAATGTAGTCATCACCTCCTGTGGTCAATTACATCATCGCTCTCTGTGGTCAATGATGTCATCAACCCTCATTGTTAATGACATCATCACCCCCCTACCGGCGTTATTGACATCATCATACCCCATGATTGATGAAATCGTCACCCCTTGTGCTTAATGACATCATCCCCCCATAGACCCATTGGTCGATGACATCATCACCCCCGCCTGTGTTCAATGATATCGTCAACCCCCATGGCTAGTGACAACATCACCCCCACTCGTGGTTAATGACATCATAATACCACCCATGTTTGATGCCATCATCACCCCCTGCGGTCGATGCCATCATCACCCCCTGTGGTCGATGATATCATCACCCCCTGTGGTCGATGACATCATCAAACCCCTGCGGTCAACCACATCATCACTTTCAGCCTGTCAGGCTTTGGTCTAGCAGCAGAAGTATTTTAAAGGAAATAGAATGAGGAGTGAGAACGGAGGGACCCACCGTTAGAGGAAATGCTGCCATCTTCATACTGCTTCACTAAGATGACATCCACAAAGTCACGCGGCGCGATGATGCCCATGGCGGCCGAGGGCGTGACAGTCCGGCAGACGGAAACATCCTGAACCAGAGAGACGGGGTTAGCTCAGAGTGAGAGCTAGCTTAGAGCGCTCCCATAGCAGCATGCTTTCTGGTCCAACACTAGGAAACATCTAGACCACACCTCCATAATCTGCTCCAGCAGCTCAAACCTCTTCACGTTGCTGTCCCACTTGACCCGGAGCCCGTTAGGAACTGGTTTCAGACACTCCCACACCTTCTCAGGACGGCCGCTGACAACGCCCTCCCCCTTATAGCTGCAAGGACAGGCAGGAGCAGAGAACAAAGAGATGGAAACAGGTCTATTCTAGTCGAACTAGGCAAAAATTCAGCCTGAGTTTAAAGCAGGAGGAACAGAAACAATCAATACAATATTTAAAACAGAAAACTTTAACCACTGTGGGAGCTCAGTGGGACAACCAACGGATAGAGCCGCCCCAGAACCAGAACCTAGAAACCGCCTCAAAGCCTTTGGTGCTTAGCTACATTTCCATCAGAGGCCGACTAAAATCCTGGTTTCTTGTATCAGATGCTGCTCAGACTCATGGGGCGTTGCTTTATGGCAGCGCCGCTTTCAGAATCCTTCTAAACTCCAGCTTCCTCCAAGAAACATGACTGTTAGGTTAACTGGCTTCTCTAGATTCTCCTTAGGTGTGTGTGTGTGTGTGAATGGTTGTTTGTCCTGTTTGTCTCTGTGTTGCCCTGTGATGGACTGGAGACCTGTCCAGGGTGGCCCCCGCGCCTCGCCCGTTGACAGCAGGAGATAGGTGCCCCTTGCCTGTTGACAACAGGACATAGGCGCCCCTCGCCCATAGACAGGTGGAGATA